CTCCTTTCGGCTAAGAAAAAGAAAAGAAAACTATTTTTAAAAAAAAATCTGAGAGTTTTCAGATTTTATTTTTAAAGAGGCGTCTTTTATTTTCGTGCACTACCTTCATTTATTAAATATCATGTTCTTCGTACTTAAATACCGTAAAATTTAATTCAACAGTAATATTCCCAAATATTTAAAAACGGCATTTAGAATTTCTGATAGACAGTCTCGCGCCGATGGAGACAATTTTTTTCGTAGAGTGTTGCTATTACTCGCTTTGAAATCGTTGAGTTTTTTAATCAAAAATTCGTTAAAGTTCTTCAAAGTATGAAATAGATAATAAAACAAATTTCAAATTCCAAACTTGTGCTTCCAGATGCCCATATTCGAGTGGAAGACTACACTATTCAAAATTTGGTGTCTCTAGGCACCTTTTTTTTTTTTTTTTTTTTTTTTTTTTTTTTTTTTACAATGCGAGAAACACACATACATTCATGCAAATTCTTAATTATTTAATTTCTTTAAATATAATACAAAAACATAAAAAAATACAGGGCTCTATTATTTAGTGACAACAATTTGAAAAGTGAAACGCCGTTTTATAGTGGACGATGCAAAATGCTAAAACGAAATTAATAGCCCTTCTGGGCAAATTGCCCCTTTGGGCTAAAAAACCTTTTTTCGAATTTTACTTTTGTTTTATTTTCTTCTGTACATTTAGCATGAAGTTTACAGGATAAATTTGTAATGAGTTTGCTTTCATTTCTGAGTGCATTCACACCTGAACGCTTCCATAGACAAACACGAACATTTTGCCGTGCAGACTTAAACTAAATACACTGTTCTCCAAAAGTTAAGGAACAGTACGTTTTTCAAAGCTCACCATTACAAAATTGTCAGTAACGTTTAAATTCACAGTTCATATGCATGAGAGTAACAATTTTTAAGAAAATATGTGCGAAAACAATAGCTACCACTTGTATTATATAGAAATGAATACTTATACAGGAGTTGAAGAAAAAATGTAAAAAATTAAAATTTTGTTCACGAGTGTTGATCTTCAGTAATTATTAGTAGAATTTCGTGGACAAAATCCAGGAGTGTCAATGTCCAGGAGAAGTCGTTTGCCCAATTCGTTGAGGTGGCGGGCGATCGGATGGATGGAAATGGAGATGTTACAAGATACTGCTGCAGGACGCCTCAATGTCTTTTGTAGTGTGGTCCACCAATTATGGAATCAGTTTGAATCCGAGGATTCTGTGTCTAGAAGTCATGTTCCAGGCAGACATAAAGTTAGAATACATGCGAGAGACCATTATTTAGCTCTTTCGGCCCCAAAAAGGAGTAACATTACTGTGCCTCAGTTCATCATTAATGGCAACCAGATGAGATCATTTAATGGCAACAGGAACAAAAATCTCAGCTAATACAGTGCGCAGACGCCTGCACGGTACAGGTCTGTATGCAAAACGACCAATTGTTTGTGTCCCCTCGACCCGACTACAGAGAGGTGCCCGTTTATGTTGGGCAAGAGAACACGTCTCCTGGAGCAGTAAATAATGGGCGTCTGTTCTTTTCGCAGACGAGTCCAGGTTTACACAGGAGAGTGATTCAGATCGTCAGCCGATCTGGAGGGAACAACGGACCAGATAAAATCAATCCCACATTGTGGAAAGACACAGTTACAGAGTTGGTGGAATAATGGTTTGGGCTTGGATCTCTCTTGGTGGTCACACTGAACTGCATGTGTTCCATGGAAGAACTTTGAGCGGTACGAGATATGGTGACGAGATTCTTGATCACTATATCCTCTCATATGCCGCTCCTTAGAATAAATATGCTTAACAGTTGCAATCTAATGTGCTTTCAAACGCTGCAAAAATATATTTTCAAAGCTTCTTAACTAGGTCAATTAAATTAATGCTAAAATTATAAGTAAAAACTAGTGTAGGAAGTATGAGGTACTGCGAAATATCACAAAGAGTAATAAAACACATTGCCCATTAGGTAGAACAGTTACTACAATGCTCAGATGCCTGCACAGTAGAGGTCAACCAGTTGTTTGTGTTCCTTTGATCTGAGGACACAGAGGTGCCTGTTTATGTTGGGCAAGAGAACACATCTTCTGGACCAGTCAACAGTGGGCATCTGTTCTCTTCACAGACGAGTTCAGGTTCACATTGGAGAGTGATTCAGGTCGTCAGCTGATCTGAAGGTAACAACGCACCAGATAAACCAATCGCACATTGTGGAAAGACAGCGTTACAGAAGTTCTGGAATAATGGTTTGAGCTGGGATCTCTCTTGGTTGTCACACTGACCTGCATTTGTTCCATGGAGGAACTTTGACCGGTGTGAGATATCGAGAGGAGATCCTTGATCAATATGTCCGCTCATATGCCGCTGCTATTGGTCCTAGCTCTCTTCTGATGGATAACAATGCGCGACCGCACAGAGCTCAGTTTGTTGAAGAATGCCTTGAGGATCACGGTATAAGGTATTTTTCCCACTTTTCTAGTGTGCCTTCGTGGTGTAGTGGTTCTGCACGCTGAGCCGGTATTCCAGAGGTCCGTGGCTCGATTTCCGGCGAAGGCGGTCGCTATTTTTCATCTATCCTGCTTCCAAAAATATACCTAATGTCTCTACAACGGTATGGAGCAGATGGAATGGCCAGCTGAACTCCCAGAACTGAAATCGATAGAGCATCTTTGGGACTACCTTGGGAGACAGGTTGTTGCTTTAAGTCCTCCTCCAAGGTCGTTGGATGAGCTTGAACAAGGATTGTTCCGTGTCTGGTCGTTTTTCTTCCCATTTCGCTAACCGACAACTTATTTGCTTGACAGCATGGAACGTTGCACGTCACGGCCGGCAATGTATTGCAGCTAGGTGTGGACATATTCCTTATTAGAACCCGTTTTTGTAATGCTACCACCCCATTTATCCTAAAAAAAAACTGTGATATACTGTTTCTACAAGACTGGATTTCTCTGCCAAGAGTTCAATTTGTAATTCATGTTTATGTTGAACTTTAGAAATGTTCCATGTCGCAATCATTATAAAGAACTGTTTTAATGAACATGTTCTGTAAATTTCTAGTTTCTATGTTGCTTCATTCTCAAATTAGACAGAAAAAACATACTATTCCTTAACTTTTGGAAGGCAGTGTATTTACCTTTTTTGAGATGTAAAATTGTTGGGATGTAAGTTATTGCATAAATTAAATAATTAAAAGAATTATCTTTTATTGGGGTTCCTGCTGCATAACAGAAAAAAGTAGTTAAATGTTAAAACTATATTAAAATAAACTATTTTTATTTAAGGTATTGTTTGATTAATACTGAAGTAAAAATTAAGATCAAAAGTATTAACATTTATCAAAAGAAGTGTTTAAGATGCATTAAGTTTTCTCAACACATGTTTACTGTTACCTGTAGGCCCACCAGCGGCCTGGCGCTAAAGACGCTGAACACTGGCAGTTCAGTCCGAGTTTCTAATCCCGCGAACGGGCTGGCTGCATGGGCGTTTTCGTGGTTTTCCCCATGTGTTATGTGTATACGAGCCAGTTTCCCTTAGAAAGTCCTCCACGAAAAGCATCCTTCCCTTTAGGCAGATAGCCCTCGTGTACTTTGCCATAACTAAATAATCCTAATCTTAATCCTGTTTCCTGTAGGCTGGGTAGTTAAATGCAGAATTTAGAAAACACAACAAAACACAGAAATAATTACTCTTATTGAGCTATGTTTTAATTAAACTTGAAGGACATGGAAGACAATAAAATATCTTCTTTTTATTTTTTTATTTTTATTTATTTATTTACTTTTTGGGGGGGGGCAAAGGAAATGTACACTGCGTAAAAAAAAAGAATGGGTCAGTTCTATATCTCCCGTTCTACTGGTCCAATTGACGAAATTCAAATTGCGTTTTTCATGTCTGGAAAGCGTGACTTAGTATATATATTAGATTTATATATAGCATTATTCTAACATAGGTATTTTTACATAAAATTGGACTTTTTCTGAAATAACATATAATTTTTTTTCCATATTTCGATTATACGACTTAAATTATGCCTAGATATTTAATTTTGTAATTTTTCGTGAGAAATTTATGGAGAAATTTAAAAATTTATCTCGGCGAATTTTTTTTCAGTTTGCGCCAAGAATAATTCACTTCGCGGAATTCTTAATTTATAGTAACCTACTTACATTAATTTTTTTTTATTGATGCACGAGAGGAAAAATTATCCATTACTCATTCTTTCAAATAATTTCAACAAAGTGCGTAAACCACATTTTCCTTATTATCGCTTATACATCAAATTTGAAAACGAGCCAAAATGTAAATTCACGTATATCTAAGGAAATTTTGAATAAAAAAAAATAATTTTTTGCAGATATTCTTAGAAATACATATACTTTAAGATGATATTAAAAACTGAATAGATTATAGTACAAAAAGTTTTTCGAAAAAATTTATAAAAAAGAAGTAGATAGAAAAGGTTACTTTGGAGCCACAGGGCGCTGGGGCGCTCGGAGAGGGGGATCTGCCGAGGTTTGCTACGTCATCAACCACGCGGCTTAACCCCGGACGTGCTGCATCCTGTTCGTGACGTCATCACGCATTATCAGCTCGGATTATCTTGCTATTGCTACGTCAAACACACATTTCATCCTGTTTGTGTTGTAATCTGGTTTCATGTACACGTTTATCGATTGACGTAGAACTCCCGGCTGCTCTGATGTCATACTATATCCGCAACCTGACTGCAGTATGTTAGAATTTCTAGTGCATTCTTTTTAGTTCAGTAATCACCCTTAGCGCTTTCTGATTGGTTCTCGTGGATCCTGACCAAACCCTATATAAAGAGACGCTGGACCCTTTTGTATCATTTCCACCTGTGTTGCATGCTTCGCTCCTGCTTTTGCCCTTCCTGTTTCAATCAAGACATGTTATTCAAGGTATGTATTTATTTTTAATCATATATCTTTTTCGTGTTCGTATATTTGATGTTACTATTTAATTTGAGTACGAAAATCTGCATTTGTTGCATTGCCTTTATAGTTTGAATTTATATTTTTCAGATGGATTTGGAACAACAGTTCGAGAACGAGCCTCTCAACGTGGATGTGCCGAAGATTTCAGATTCTGATTGTAATTCTGACCCACACCATGAGAAGTCGAAAGAAACACCCATCTCGCGGAACACTAATGGCAAACGAAAAATAGACGAAGATAATACATCTAAGAAGAAAGTAAGTATTACGAAAAGAGTTTATTCTTGCTATAACGCAGACTTATTATTCTTTTACCAAACGACTCATCATTATTTTTTCTCTTTCAGCGCAATGGACGCTTTACTGAAGACACAATCCCAGAGGAGCTGACACATATTGGCAACAATGTCTTTGTGGGACCTACCCTTTTCAACGGAAAGATCACCGTGCACATCAGGCAATACAGCAAGTACGGGAGTTCATATTATCCGACTCGTAACGGTGTGAATTTAGAGCCTTCGTGTTTGGACACCTTCTCTCAACACAGCCCACAAGAGGTGTTCACAATGAATCTGCGACTACCCAAGAATTTTAGTGCGGAATATGATGGTTACCACATCACGTTAAAGCAACTAACAGTAAAACGAGTGGAGAAAAGCAATATCAGATAGAGGCTTCACAATTACAATCGCCGAGTGGGAAGAATTGTCTCACAAATCGCCCAGTGGGAAGAATTGTCCACAAATTACAGTCGTATCAGTGACCATCGTCACTAACCTCGTATATATCAATGTATGGACTTTTGTGAAGCCTACGAAAGTGTATCCGAGGAACCTATTAACGAGGAAAAGCTTCCAGAATCCTTCGACATTTCTTTGGGAACAGCATGCCTTCAAACCATTCTAAAGACGTCACTAGAACAGCTGATCCAAGAACACGGAGATTTGAAGTATCCTAAACTTATAGACTGTGAAGAGCTCGCTATTTATAAAACAGAAACTATCAACTCCTTGGCTCTGAAATTAAACTCTATCGACATAGCCAGGCAATTTTATGGAAATGTATGGACTGAAGAGCCTTATTTACTTCTGATTAAACCAGCACATTATATCACAAAAGACTTTTTAAAATCTGTTTGTCTCAAACATGTACTTGATGAAGTGAAAGAAACATTTTGTCCTACCAATTTGGAAAAATATGGTGCTTATGGTATTGAATATTATGAATGTTTAAAAAGTAAATAAAATTATTTGTTTATAATGGTCTCTTTACTGTCTCATAATTAAGTTAAAAATAAATATATATAAAATTAAGGGAACACTATAAATACTCATACACATTTGCTTTCCGTTCATAAGAAGGATTGTTATAGAAATGAGTGGTTGTATGTTTTAGAGAAAAACTATAAATGAGCGTTCACATTTCTATTAGTAAAAATCACTGCTGTACATACCATGAATCTGACTCAGATGTATCGCGATCCAGCCCTTCCCGCCAGTTTTGGTGGAGTGAGTGCTTTGCATCGTGCTTTAAAAGGCAAAGAAAGTCACAAACGATCAAGAATTGGCTTACCAGCAAAGAGTCATATACTTTGCACAAGCCTACCCAGCGACATTTTCGTCGCAATCGCGTCCTCGTCAGAGGCATCGACGCTCAGTTTCAATCTGATTTGGCAGATATGCAGTCTCTTGCCAAACACAACGATGGATATAAATATTTGCTAGCGTGTATTGATGTGTTTTCCAAATATGCTTGGGCTATTTCACTCAAAGATAAAACAGGTCAGAGTGTCAAATCAGCTCTTGAACATATTTTTAGCGAGAGAAAAACCACATTTGTTACAGACTGACAAAGGTGACCTGTATAAGAATAAAATCGTTCAAACTTATCCTAAAAAAGAAAAGGTTCGTTTTTCACAACTGAGAACAGTACATAAAGTTTCCATAAAAAGGCAAGCATCATTGAACGATTCCCCAGAACCCTCAAAAGCAAAATGTGAAAGTATTTCAGTGAAATGAATACATATCGTTATATTGACGTAATAGATAAATTAATTCACAGTTATAATCATACTTGGCATCGCTGTATTCAAACTGAACCAGCGAATGTCAATAAACATAATGAGAAACAAGTGGGGAATCAATTATATAAAGACCTACCTAAACCTCAACCTAAGTTCAAAGTGGGAGATACAGTGCGCGTTAGCAAATTAAAAATGATTTTTGAAAAAGGCTATGAAAGTAACTGGACAAGAGAAATATTTACGATCCATGAAATCCTTCCTAGAAATGCACCTGTTTATCGACTTAAAGACCTTGCCGGAGAAGTCATTGAAGGAACCTTTTACGAATAGGAACTGCAAAAAATTTCAGATTCGGGATATTATCCTGTTGAAAAAGTGTTGCGAGAAAGAAAGAGAAACGGTGTGACGGAGTACTATGTGAAATTCGTAGGTTATCCACCAAAATTTAATGCATGGATGACCGATGTGAAAAGAATATAAAAACTCCACATCATATAAAGAATCGTCATTTGCCAAGATGTCTTTCTATATGACGTTACCTAGTGATAGCTCTCAACGTTATTTTCCAGAAAATACTATCTCTCATTTCATTACTCAATTGCCTGTACCCATATCTTTGAACGGGGAATGGGAAGTTGGTCTTTCTGAGATCATTTACCCGCATACCTGGTACAATATAAACAAAGATAACAATCTCTTTGGCTTTGATTTGGGTGACTCTTCAGATGTAAGGGAAGTTGCCAATAGAAAAATACCACCAGGATGTTACGAAAGTGTCCCAGATCTCTTAAAGGCCATGACTTTAGCATCATTTAAAGATAAAATCTCCTTACAGTATGATCGTTCAACAAAAAGAGTAAAAATTGTCACGCAAAATGGAGCTCGGTTAATCTTTTATGATTCGGGATTGGCAAGTTTATTAGGCTTCGAACCGCAGATTGTCGAAGGTACTTGGAATAGTCCATATGTGGGGATCTGCATTCTGCTTATACATTACTTTATGTGTATAGTGACATCGTTTCGCCTCAGATTGTTGGTAATGTGCAAGCTCCCCTCTTAAGAGTCGTGACAGTTACCGGAAAAGATGGTGATAGCGTAAATGTACAATACGACAGACCGCATTATGTGCCAGTAACAAGAAATTCATTTAATACAATCGAAGTGGAAATCCGGCTCAATTCGGGTACATTCGTTCCTTTTGAGAGGGGTAAGTTAATTCTTGTGCTTCATTTCCGAAGGCGACAAATCCTATAAATATGACAACAGAAGAGGAAAAGTTTTATTTGTAAAAAAGACATCAAGATGCTCGTACCATACGAATGTTGCACTCAAAATTATGAAAATCATTATCAAACCGGCTCGGGCCTTCCTTATTACCAAGGTCAACCCTATCAAAAGGGCTATGGTCTCGGTGAATTTTTTCGCAGTCTATTTCGCTCTGCTATGCCTTTGTTTGTGAAAGGAGCCAAAACGGTGGGGAAAAAAGCTTTGCTCACCGGAGCTCTCATCGCAAATGATGTGTTGGCAGGTGAAAACATTAAGTCTGCTGCTAAACAAAGAGCCAAAGAGGCGGGAAAAGTATTAGCGGCAAAAGCTATTCGTAAAGCCCAGACCATGGTTGGTAGTGGCAAGTATAAAAGGAAGCGAAAACAGTCAAAACACTTCATTTCTCCGAAAGCTGTGAAGCAGAGAAGACGTGATATTTTCGATTCATAATGGCTTTTATCATGAAAGATTCCCCTGAATGTGTTAAATCCGAATTAGAACTTTTTCATTTACCTGGAACTCAAACGGCGATTCAAAGCGGTCAATGGGTTCAGTTTCATCCTCTATCTAATGTATTTGACGGAGGTCCCGTAGAATTCCATATTTCAGGCAGTGGAGAAGATTATATTGACCTGTCACAAACACAACTCTACGTGAGAGCAAAAATAATAAAAACGGATGGTTCACCTCTGGATAAAGATGCTAGCATCGGCCCAGTAAATTTGTTCCTGCATTCTTTATTTTCTCAGGTGGATGTCACATTAAACGAACGACTGGTGTCTTCTTCTAGTAACACATACCCCTATAGAGCTTATATTGAAACTTTGCTCAATCACGGCTATGATAGTAAAACTTCAAAATTGACAGCTGAAATGTATGACAAAGATCTAGAGAAGCGATCTTCCTTTTTCAAACTGAGTTCTACTGTTGTTTCAGAAATTATGCATTCTCTTCCTACGGCCTGATTCTGTCATGTATCATTTTAAACTTAGTGATTTATGCTGTGATTATGGACAAAATTCCGCTCGTGAACTTTAAACTGAAAACCAATTATTGAAATAACATGGACTTTTATTATTATAACAATTCATGGTGGTATTTATAATTATCTCATTATGTTATTTGTTATTAATCATGTTTATCTCCTATTTTGTTGCACCAAATCAGATGTTCAATTTATCTGTGAATCTCAAATTGATTCCTACTATTTTGAATCACTTATGCCTAACCATTATTTTAATAAATACTGGATGCAGGGCGTTTGGAATTGCACGATGTTAATAGGCAAACTTTAGACCTTTGAAGCTTCAGTTTATGCAAATTCTTATAAAACTTGCAATTACCCCCCCTTTTTTTTCTCTCAAAGAGTTTAAAGGCATTACCAGTTGACCTATGGTACATCGCTGGTTTCCCCCATACTTTTACCTTTACCTTTACCTGTTGATATGATTGGTGGCATTCATTTTGATTTATTTCATCAAGAAAGGTTTTTATTAAATATGGTGGATGTTAAATTAACTATTATCAGAAGCAAGCTGAAGTTTTGTTTGCAAGGAAAAGCAGGTCATAAAGTGGTTTTAGAACATGTATCTCTTTTCGTGAGAAAAGTGCGTGTGAGCCCTGGAGTTATCCTAGGTCATGCCAAAGCATTAGAGAAGAGTAATGCCAAGTATCCTATTAATAAAGTATTATGTAAAGTCTCTTCCATTCCCCAAAACAGCATGTCCTTGATGCAAGACAATGTTTTTGTTGGTCAGATGCCTCAAAGAATTGTAATTGGATGTGTTGATAATGACGCTTTTCACGGAAATTTTGCCAAGTCACCATTTGAGTTTAAACATTATTACCTGAATTTCATTGGAGTGTACGTCGACGGACAGCCTGTGCCTTACAATCCACTGGAACCAAATTTTGATAACAACAATTATATTCGAGCTTATCATAGCCTGTTTTTCAATAAATCCCAGCAAGATAAAGGCATTTTTATCTCGAGAGAAGACTATTTACAAGGTAACGTGTTATTTGGTTTCGAATTATCACCAGACCTTTGTGATGGAGAGCATATGAATCTCATTAAGCATTCTAATCTACGGATTGAGTTAAAGTTCAGCCAACCTCTCGAGCAAACCGTGTGTGTGATTATTCTTTGCAGAATTTGATAACGTGATTGAAATTAATAAATCGAGGAACATCATTTTTGACTTTAACTGATGGATGGTCGTATTATACAAGACATTTTATCTCGTGAAGCAGCAGCTGTCTTTCGAGGAGTTTATCTAGCAGATAAAACACCTCCCTTAATTAGAAGATCAGCCATCGTTGTGAATACAGACAAGTCCACAGAACCCGGAGCGCATTGGGTAGTCTTTTTTCAAGATGAAGAATTAGAATTTTTTTTATTCTTATGGACAATCTCCAGATGTTTATGGATTTCACTGTTCAAATGTAAGATGGAATAATATTCCATTACAGAGTGTAACTTCTAATGTATGTGGAGCATACTGTATTTATTATGTACTGAAACGAATCCAAGGCCAATCTATGTTTGCCATTATTGAAAATTATGTAAATTGTTTGCCATTATTGAAAATTTATGTAAAATGAGTGATTTTAACCTGTATCAATTTGTGAAAAAAACTTATGGTGTAAGAATGATTTTTAAACAATAAAATACTTGAAATGTATTTTTTCTTTTGTGTTTTATTTTTCTGACTGAATAAATTTTGTCAACTTATATAAAAGCATATTGAGTTTTAAATATTATGACAACGAAACGTTTTCATATGAAGAACAACACAAATAACACTTTTCGACCTAAAAAATAAAAGTGGAGATTTTTCTCCCTAAAAAAATCTAAATGAATTTTTTTCGACTTTTTAAAAACAAAGTGCAGCTTTTCCCCCTTACATTTTGAATTTAACATGAGCTTTCCCATAGACAAAATAAAAGTGGAGATTTTTCTCCCTACAAAAATTAAAGTGAAATTTTTCCCCCTTACATTTTGAATTTAACATGAGCTTTCCCATAGACAAAATAAAAGTGAAGATTTTTCTCCCTACAAAAATTAAAGTGAAATTTTTTCGACCTAAAACAATCTAAATGAATTTTTCATCTTAAAAAACTATAAGTAAAAATCTTTTTATCTTTTTTTTTTCTCTTTCATAATTATTTTTAATTTCGGAAAAGTATCTTATTCCTAAGAACACAATAAAAACACATATATCAAGTTAACATTGTTTTATTTAATATCTAATCCATACATTTCTTCGAGCATACATGACATTTAATTTGTTATAAACATCATACATAGTAGGTAAACCTAATTCTTTTAACACAGCATAAAATTCATTTTGTCCAATAACTGGTTTTTTCTTATTTCTTAAAAAATGATTGATGAGTGTCACAACATGAGTCCCTGGAACGATTTGATCCCGATAAATGAGTTCACCTCCATCTGAAATATGTTTCTTTCACATGATGATAAATGTCTTTTTTTGCTTGAGACTTGTATTTTAAAGGAGCCACATTCACAACTTTTTTCTCAAATGGATCTTCCGTAGGAATTTCTTCTTTCTTCACCAAAGTGTCTTCTTTCTTTTCCATAGGTTTCTCTGTTTTTTCAACGGGTGGTGGTAATTGATAGGTAATATATTTCTGGAGTACTTGCAGATACAAAGCTGCTTTTTCACTTTCATCAAGGTCTTTTTTCTTTAAAATTCGATCCATTTTCTCATCCAGTTCGGTAAGATGTTCCACCACCGTTTGTCGTCTTTCTTCTGGTACGATGAGAAGTTTTTACTGAACTCCATGAATAAGAGAACTAATGACAGAAATAGCCGCAGGTAAGAGAACACTTAGAAAACCTTCCCCTTTTTGTACAAGCAGTCTTCTTTTCTTATAAAGAGGTACTTTTTTTTGGCGAGTTTTCGTAAACTTCGTTTATAAGGCGCTAATTGAGCCTTTCGCTTGGAGGAAACGGCAAGATGACCTCGAAGCAAGTTTAAGGCACACTCACACACAGTTTTTATGACACTATTGGGGCACTTGCGAAGCAAATCACTTGAAAATTTACTTTTCGAGATGAGTTTCAGTTGCTCTAATTGGTGCAGCGAACAGTTCGACATTTTATACACGAATGACAGGAAAGAAAAAAGTGTTGGGCTTTTATAGAGTCTCTACGAAGCGTGCATAAGCGGCGGCTTTTTGAACAGCACAGTGTGAAAAGTTCTTCACATGCAAATAAGGGCAGACTATTTCTCTTGGAGGTAAGTCACAAAAACGGGGACAGTTTACATCATCCAAATTAATCACTTCTTTTCTGGTATGATTTTGAAAAAATTTCTTTTTTTCCAGACCTTTGACATATATTTTTTTAAATGAACGAAACAGCATCTGAAGGACTAAATTTAAATCTGTATATGACATTTCTCCATATGTCCAGTCCATATGATGTATATTCCGAGATACCCACGAAAACGTGAGTTGTGTTTTCTTGCTGAAATCTTCAAAGGAACATGGGGGTTGAAAAGTCCATCTGCCGCGATACGTTGGGTCCCCTACCGCAAAAGCTGCAAGTTCTTTAATAACAAACTGTCCTGAAGAATGTTGGAAGCCTTCAAAGTCGATCACCACAGATATCTTCACTCGTTGACAGCTCACCAGCAAATGACTAGCGAGGTTGATAGATGTAATATTTATCGTTTGGAAAAAGCCCCGTTCTCAGACGCATGGAGTAAGATGTTTCAGGTTTGAGATCAACCAGTAAATAACTGTAAGGTTTAGATGTAGCGTCTTGATACACTTCTTGAAAAAACTTGTTCTTTCCCGTATATAACTGCCTTCCCAGATGCATAATTTGAGACTTGTCTCTTCAATTTTTAAAGAGAACTAAATAATTAGCATTCAAAGACATTTCCCGAATACCTTTATGAAAGAAATTTTGTACAATGAAAATAACACTAAGATTTAGATGATGAGATCCTTTTCCTAAATAACTTAGTCAATCTTATATCATTTCCGAGTTCTGACATAAGATCATCAATAATAATCACAGAATTTGATAAAGTGTGGATGTTTTCAGGCAAACCATCACAAAATTCAATATGATTCATCTCATCGTAAAGACTTTGATAAGCACCATAGCACCAAATAATTCTAGGAGGAAAAGGAGTGATCATTTGGTGGTCCATTAATTTTTTAATAAACATGGTTTTTCCGCTACCACTAGGACCAGCAGCTAACATCGTGAAAGGATGTTTTAATTTCAAAGTTTCCTAGGACCAGCATTTCCTAGGATGTTTTCCTAGGACCAGCAGCTAACATCGTGAAAGGATGTTTTAATTTCAACAGTTCCATCTTAACTAAATCCTTATTCGAAAAACAATTCTATTTATAGCTGTTCCATTAGATTTTTAATTTTTCTAACTTTCCATTTTTTGATAAAACTAAAATTAATTTTTCTAACTTGCCAGATTAATTATTGTAACTTGATTAAAATATTCTAACGTGTTAAACATTTTCTTAAAAAGATTAAGAGAACTCTCTCTTTACTGAAGACTTAGTTTTTTAAAGTACAAAACAAGAAATAATATATTTAAATAAACATTTATTAAAGTTTGAAGACATATCATTACACTTATTTACATCATAAATTTCCACAATAAAATACTTCTAAATTTTGAGATAAAATTATTCAAACTAAAAATTATATGGCATAATGTCCGTATGCATAGGACGATATCCCATCGTCTAAAAGATACCGTTTCGTATCGAAAGGACACAAAGTAGCTTTCGTATAAGCCACAGTCTTTATCTGATGACTGTGGCTAGCAATACGTTGCGCATGGGCAAGGCCGCGTTGTTGTAAAAGACAGTTAACGTAGTCCACATGACGAATCTGTCTTTTAAGGATGGTTTTCGATACGCCCTTAGCAGTTTTTTTCTCAGTAGAGTTACTCAGTAGGCTGTACATTTTTGGCTTGAGTCCAACAAATTCTTGGGCAATTTGTCCAGATAGTTCATCTTTCATTTTACCGATCGTCTTTTTATTGGTAAGGCTGTAGAGGGGATGATTTTCTGGGTAATCTGAGGTATCGAATAAGTTCAGATTGTTGCCCATGTCTTGAAAAATATCATCAGTTTCTATTTCGTAACAAAGACTGTCGGTGTCTGTGAATAATAAACGGGCTTTTGATGCATACGTTCTCTTGGTATATCCATAATGAAATTGATACATAAACGTTTTTGATAAATCCAAAATGCTGAAGCCTACATAGATAGGACGATTCAGAACCAAGCTGGTTTTCCGTCGCTCAATGGCAGCCAGATCGTCAGTGATGATCTTGAAGGAATGAAATATTGGAGCAGCGACTAACTTCTTGGCTCGTTTCTCTCGATGAACCAGATCAATGCAGGTACGTTTCTGAGATTTTCCGTCGTCTTTCTGAAACCTGAATTATTTAAGAGTTTAAATAAATCTTTTTCGAATGAAGATTTAGCCAGTTTACGTTGCCTAGTGTTGAATTCAATGTATGTTGCAAGCAAAGGAGATTGTTTGAAAGTCAGCACTCGATGGATCTTGGTCACGTGAAACCCCAGTGAAACATACTGCTTCAGATTTCGGTAATGTATCACGTACCGATGCTTAGGTCGCAGATTTGGCACCAGTTTGGTAGAACTGCTCGGTGGGATTTGGAATTTAGTTGCCAGGTCTCGTGTGTAAGGTGACCACATATCAGGAGTCACGACGACTTGTTCGGGAGCAAGAGGATAGTCCGAATGATCATCGTGAAGTTCCCTTGGATACTCCAGATCAACTTCAAGGATACATCCTTCTTCCGCATCGTCAGCCATCTCCATGAAGTTAAGAGGTCCGTCATGCCACCGGAAGTCATGGGTTGGTAAAGCTTGGCTCATGGCCCATCTAAAAAGATAGAATAAAAATAATGAATATCACAAGTAAATAATAGAGAAAGTATTATATCTAAACATTTAGAAAGGGTACAAATTCAGAAGTCAAACAACAAAAATCAGCGTTATATTTACAAAATTTTCATAGGACTAGTTTCGATGGTTTTACCGAACCACCATCTTCAGCTGCAAAACCGCAAATGAACAAGATAGGAAATAATGATTAGATAAGATTAACGCTGATTTTTGTTGTTTAACTTCTGAATTAGTATTTATTCGGAGTGTTATTGTAATTTAGAAAGGATACTTACCCATAAAGGTTATTGGCATCCAAATACATAATATAAGATGATGGCTTCGTTGGGTCATAATTTTCCATATATTTATTATTGGCTTGGCTGAAGCGATGTGAAATGATAGAGATGCCACCTCGAATGCCCTTTTCTATAAAGAGATACATATCAGGATCGGTGAGTAACTCCAGTTGGACGTCGGACATGCGTAGAGCAGCTTGCCAGGCCAGACCAGGTGCTGTGTAAACGTGTGCCGGATCCAGTTTGTAAAAATCAAGGCACAGTCGTCTGAAGTTTTGAAAAATATCCGCCAGAAGCAAAACATCACTTTTTACATAGAGGTCGTGGTAGTCTCCTAGATGACGTAATCCGAAATCTTCCCAGACTCTGTTCGCATGTTGGTAATCCTCATCGTTGATATCACTCTCTGTTAAATGGCTGTAGAAGGCAGAGAGAGGTGGAAGGTGCGGCTCATCAAATCGCTCAAACGAGTCTAGGTACTCATAAGGGTAGACACCTGGGAAAAATTTAAAAAAATCGAAATTAAAAAAAACCTATATAAAAAGTAATAATACATTATCATATATAAAATGTTATGATATAGAAATTCTGATTACCTTTTCGAAGCATCAGATCTGTTTTTTCCCGAAAATAGGTTCTTGTCAGTTGGAATTGTTGTGGCTTCCAAATTAGCCGCCAGCTTGTCTAAAGAAGCATTCAGAAATTGTAGAGAATCGATGAAGCGTAGACGACCCAAAGAAACAGAAATGAATTTTTCTGAATTCTGCGGAATACACTTAATCTCTTCGTCTTTGAATTTTCCCACCGCTTGCATCAGGAGGTGAGAATCATATCCCTTCAGATTATGGAAGACCACAGGTAGAAAATTTGCAAATTTGAAATTGATGTTGCATCCATTATGAGCTGCTCCTCTGTAGACTCCCGTAAGATGGCAATGGTCCCGCACCTAGAAAAATTAAAAATTAGTTTTAAAAACACATTATTATAAATGCATATTACTGAATGAAGTTATAATATTCGAATAATACTTACCTTATCTCCATTCAATGGCTTCTCACAGATATGACATTCAGAGGCAGATTCATAGGCCCACTGATTTTCTTGGGTGAAAATCATGGGCTCTACAGTTTTCAAAATTTCAAAGATGCCCCTTTCTTCTTCCAGTAAAGCTGATTAGAAAGTGGTTGACAGCGTCTTTCCCTCTATAGACTTGAGGTTCCCGATAAAATGAACCGTCTGGTCCCACGATCACGTAACAGTATCCACAAGGAAGATGGACGGCTACAGGGGTGGTAGATGACTTCGAAGGATCTGGTAGACAAGTATCTTTCTTCACTAAAATGGATTCGAAATCAAGCATAAACTATATATGGAATGGGTAGTTGAAACTGGGGCTTGTCAAATTTTAACAATTTATTTTCCGGCATTTTAATTTTTTGTACTCCATGGAATCGACAGTCTTCTACATGCGCGTCGAGAGTCTCCTTCTTTTTGAACCTGTGTAAGCAATAGTCCCAATAAAATTTCTCCTGACAATTTTTCGTCAAGCCCGCAAGAAGACGAGACATGTTTTAAATGGGACAATAGTGTCTGTTTTCCTCATCGAAAATGAGCAGCAGATTGATATGTCGATCACCTAAAAAAGAACAATATCATTCCATAAAATAATTTTCAAACTTAAAACATGTCTATTAAAGTTTACAAAATAAGGTTAAATTACCGTTTCGACTCCTGGTGATACGAAGAGATAAAACCTCATTGTTTTCCCAACCGAACACGTTGATCGGCAGGTTGTTCATTTTCTCGAACTTGTCCAGCTGGTGAATGGGGGTAGGGAAAGACAGGCCATCCACATTGACTTCTCTTTCATAGGGCTTATAATGAGATACTCTGTATACATGTTCTCTATGATCTTCAACGGGATGAAGGGCTGCCAAGACGCTCCACACCAGACATTTGTGGTCCTCATTCTGTATATTGAGAACAGCCATTTTACTGGCTAAGGCTTTCGGTAGGGGTATATAAAAAGAGGCCGTCAGGGGTTTGTAGACTGCGGTCTTGAGCTCCAGGTATTGAACGGAGTCTAAAACCCATCCTGAGCCATTTTTCAGAAATTTGCCCAAGGAATCCAGCACTTGTAAAACATTTCATGAGTGATACTAATTTTACACACATTTTTAAATAAATTAAAGTTCAAATAAAATCAACTTTCTTACCTTTTCAATAGCTGTCTGCATATCGTGCATTTCTCCTGTGAGCGTAGTGCTGCATTTTGATCGAAAGTAAGGGGTGCATGTCTCCTCCTCGGTCTCTGACACTTTTTTGATCATCTTCACACAAGCATTCAAGTACCATTTAATCCCCTGGTGCTGTGCGGCAGCTTCTTGAATCTTGCTCGCGACTTCGGTTTTTGACAACTCTAAAAACACTTGTAAGTCTTCACTAGGATAAATGATTTCCGTAGCAAACGTACCAAGGCAGGGTGGACGCTCTTGCCTCGGTCGTTTAGGGGCAGGCATGGTGGCAGGGGGAGCTGCTCGTTTCACTGCGTGAGATGGCATGGATTTCTGGGGTTTAGCATGAATCTTCATATGATTATTCAGTTTATCGGAGCGTTGGAAGATCTTTTTGCATATAGAGCAAATGTATTTACCTGCCGAATGTCGCACTTTTATATGTCTTGTCAAGCTTCTCTGGTGTGCAAAGGTTTTATTACACTCCAAGCAAATCAAATCTGGGGTGTCAGCGAAAGGCGAATCCAACTGAGAGGGCGTAAGATCACCAAAATCCATAATAGCAATGGTTTGATCGTCCAAAGGCATGTCTTCATGTTCAAAAACATATTCAGAATCCATCTAAAAATATAAAAGTACCAAAAATAAGTATTATAACTCAAAAATTCTCGAACGTACAATTTTTGAAAAAGAAAGATACTTACGTTGGCTTGTGACTGAGTAGCCTCATGATTTAAAAGCATAGTCTCAGATGTATGTTCCATCTGAAAGAAAAAAAAATAAAGAAAAAATTCAACTGTTTATGAAAAACTATTAAACAAATAAAAATGAAAGGGAAAGTTAAAATAATAATATTAACTTAAAATAAACCTACTTACAATAATAAAAAGAAACCAAACTAATGAAAAATAAAAATGTATTTGATTGTTAATGCAACATATAAATTATCAGTTTAATCAAAGCTATAATATTGACATAAAAACACAAATTATTGTTAATTTAACTAAGAAAAATTACATTAGGAAAAAGAAAGCATACTACATATAATTTCAGAAATGCAATAAAATTCACGTGGAAACACGAAGTATCATTAATTTAGCTAAGAAGGATTACAATAGGAAAGAGAAAACATGCTACATATAATTTAAGAAATACGATTAATATTTACATGAAAACATAGAGTAAGTTAAAAAATATTTAACGAAGAAAATTTACCTTAGGTATCATATTTTGCTAGAATCTCAATAAATGTAATCTATAAATAATAGCGAAAAAATATAGAATAAAATTAATATAAAAGAGGTATTGAAAATGAATGACTTAAATTAAAACGCAACGAGTTCAACTAAAATGGTCCTTAGGAAAAACAAAAATAACAAACTTTTGAAACAAAAATAAAGAAGAAATTATAAAACCATGCATGAAATAAACAATATTCGATAGAAAAGTACGTGTTAATTATCTAATAAAAAATAAATGTTAACAGCTATTGAAAATAAACTAAATATTATTATCTAATAAAAATAAACTAAATATTAACATAGAATCTATAAATACAGGCACAATCTATGATAAAATACATACCTCGAATAACACGTCTTGATTGAAACAGGAAGGGCTAAAGCAGGAGCGAAGCATGCAACACAGGTGGAAATGATACAAAGTCAAGTCGTCATTCTAGTACTTGGTGTATACTGCTGAGAGTATTAACCAATAGTTATCCGGCCTCAGCCATTAGCATTTAATTTTAAAAATAGAGGTGCGTAAGCACCGTGCCCATGGGCAAGAGAAACATAGGTGGCAAAGCAGGGTAATATAAGGTAAGAAAACTATTAAAATTCAAATAATAAGTTGCATACAGAGTGGTGCATGGAGCTTGAATCGGTGCAGTAGAGAGGCGGTAATGAGCAGAGATACATGGGAGTATTTAACGTCACGTGATCAGAAGTCTTGATTCTGATTTGTGGAAATGATACAAAAGGGTCCAGCGTCATTTATATAGGCCTTGGTCAGGATCCACGAGCACCAATCAGAAAGCACTATGGGTGAGACTACTGCCCTCTAGCGGTGATTGCTGAACTAAAAAGAATGCACTAGAAATTCTAGCATGCTGCAATCAGGTTGCGGATATAGTATGACATCAGAGCAACGGGGAGTTCTACGTCAATCGATAAAACGTGTATATGAAACCAGATTACAACACAAACAGGATGAAACATGTGTCTGACTTAGCAATAGCAAGATAATCCGAGCTGATAATGCGTGATGACGTCACGAACAGGATGCAGCACGTCCGGGGTTAAGCTGCGTGGTTGATGACGTAGCAACCCTCGGCAGATCCCCGTCTCCAAGCGCCCCAGCGCCCTGTGGCTCCAAAGTAACCTTTTCTATCTACTAAAATATTTAAAAATACAACTTTTTAAAATAAATAACAAAAAAATGAGCGAATTATATTTAAACCTAAATTTCAAATTCTGGAAGAAGAAATAAAGTAAGTTTAATAAAAAAGAGATATTAATAAATATATATCAAATTCAATTAACATTGAGGAGCTAAAATTTTGAGAGTTTATTTTAAAAAAAGCTACTTGTGCGATTTTTACACAGCTTAATTTGACACGGCTTTATTTGAGTCGTAGAATCGAAATATTGAAAAATATTGGCATGTCATTTCAGAAAAAGCCCGATTTTATGTCAAAACAACTATATTAAATTAAGGCTATATAAAAGTCTAATACATATCCTAAGTCGCGCTTTCGAGACATGAAAAACGCAAGTTGAATTTCGTCAGTCGGCCCAGTAGAATGAGAAGATGTTTAAAATTATACAGGGTGAGGCATTTCCGATTATCCATCTTGAAAATAATATATTCTGCAATAGAGACAGTAACACTCCGAGCATTTTATACCATCGTTTTCGCTACACTTGTATATTTACAAATAATATACTCTGCAATAGAGACACTAACACTCCGAGCATTTTATACCATCGTTTTCGCTACACTTGTACATTTACAAATATTATACTCTGCAATAGAGACAATAACACTCCGAGCATTTTATACCATCGTTTTCGCTACACTTGTATATTTACACGCATGCAAACTTGTCCTTCCACCCCAAATCTAAGTCAATACTGTCTCTGTGTTTGTTTTGGTTTGATTTAGGTGATTATGGCAAAGAGCACTAAGGCTACACTAGAGAAATTGCGGAGGGATGCCTTCGTGGAGGACTTTTTAATGGACACTGGCTCGAATGCAACTTATAAATGAGGAAAACCATGAAAATGCCCATGCAGCCAGCCCGTTCTCCCTTGAATCGAACGCAAGTCGGAACTGGCAGTGTTTAGAGATTTTACAGCTCGCCTGCTGGTAGCTCAATACGTCTCGAAGACTATTAACATTTTAGAAGATACTGTCTGAGGCTTCTTTCAGACTAAGGCTTTGTTATTTAAGGCATAAAAGTCATTAAGTTCCTTATTTAAACAAGGTTTAAACCTTAGCAAATCAGAAAAGGTAAAGCTGTGCATGCGTAAATGTTTAGCTGAGTGAAACTGTCGGCAAGAATGTCAGTTCGTGATTATTAGTCGGTTCTTATGCCAAATTTAAACTTTTAGGCAATATCTTTAACTTAGTTTTTGTGACGTTTTGTGAGGACTGATTGCCTAGCAATGAAGCTCGGCTAATATCTCTTGAGACAGAAAAATCATTGTGTGAAAAGAGCTTAAGTGCCCCAGACTTCTGCCTTTGAAGACACTTGAAGGTTTTGCAACCAGAGGGCGAAGTGTGGATGAGCTGAAAGAACGAATCGGGGAGGAAAATGGAAGCGCAAATCTTAACTTTTCCTTGGCTGTGTTATGCAAAGTGTCTGTAATCATCTTGTGCCGTGCATCGCTAAAGAAAATTCCTAGTATTCCTCCCATTTCTTGTTTTGTCCTGTCCAAGGTCAGTAGACAGACAAGGTTATACTCTTTCAAGGTCAAACCTTTCTCTTTCCAACGCTGGAGACAGTGACTCACTGCATCACAGGTATCAATCAAAGTCAATTCGTTGGCTGATACGCATGCAACGCATCCTTACCGCACTAACAGAAACGAAGCTTTACGTGTCAAGGATGCTAACATTACTACAGTGGTTGACCTTGGTTGAGAAGAGCAAAACTTGCAGGAGGTTTTAGGAGTAGAGCCCCATCGCACTAACCAAAAAACTCCGTCCCAAATTTGACAGAAAACAACATCTCCCACATCTTTTCAGCCGAACAGCGGCCGAGCAATAAAGTCGCTGAATACTGGTAGTTCGGTCCGGGTTCAAATCCTGTCGAAAAGGCTGGCGGCGTGGGCGTTTTGCTGGTTTTCCCCCTGTGTAACGTATATACAAGCCAGTTTCTCTTAGAAAGTCTTCTATGAAGGACCCTTCTCTTAGTCAGTTAGCCCTCAAGTACTATGCCTTAATGAAATTACCCAAACAAAACCCACCTCTTTTCCTCAACCACCAAACCGCTCGAGAGAACTTCCGCCTAGCCAGTATTTTAAGTTACGGAAAGTATTTTAAGTTACTGCAGCCAGCGTCGCTATACAAAAAAATTTCGCTACGGCCAGTTGATGTTGCCAAGCCTCATTTTTAAAGATTAGACTTCTTGCTCCTATTTAAAACTCAGCCAACTAGAGGCTGAGCGAGAAAATTCTTTAAACTCTGGTAGTTCGTCTCGAGTTCAAGTTTCGGCAAACAGACTGTCTGCATGGGCATTTTCGTGGTTTTCTTCATGTGTAAAATGGATACAAGTTAGTTCCCTAAAAAGTATTATACGAAGGCGTCCTTTCCTTAGGCAGATATCCTTCAAGTGCTTCGCTGTAATCTAAATTATCCAATCCAGTTCTATATAAAACTTCTCTCAGTTACATATTCTGGTGAAGTAGGCGTTACAATAAAATTATAAGATAGATATTAACATACGAATTAAAGCAGTAATTAAAGTAAATCGTACAACTCTTAAGAAATGATAAAAAAAAAGAATATTAAAAAAAATCAATGATGTTTCTTGGCAAATTGAATAAAAAAGTGTCTAACTCACTGCCTTGCTTCTTTCCATACGAACTTCTAGCTGCTCAATTTCTATTTTCAACTGCTTTATCTCAAGATTGTTTTTCTTAATTTTCAGGTTATTCTCTTCCATGTCAGCCTTCTGTTCTATGTCTGTAGCATTAAAAAATATGCTATATATATTGCAAGAAAATGTATAAAATAAATTACCTCTCTACTAATAATTTGCATTTAAAATGGAACAGGGGAAAAAATAGATATACTGAAATTCTTATACAATTTAGAAGCTCTGATAGGATTTACCTTTATTTAAGTAAATAAAAATAAACGAGGATATTTCTCTCCTTTATTTTTTTTTTCTATTGTTTATAGCCGTGATGCTTCTAGAAAAGAAATATGCAGGCTATTATACTCATTCATGAAATTTGAATTGATACGTGAGTATAAAATTACCGTCATGTAACCACCATACTAAATAATGATTTTCAAAACTCATATCATAGAATCATAAATTTTATCAAATTAATTATGCACATATCTCACTAATCTCTCACGCTAATCGTAAATATTAGCGTTATATATTTATCAGATAATCGTAAATCGAATTTTTAGTACTAGATGCGAACGTTACAGGTTTTATTATACTATGCAATTTTGAATGCCTTAGTAGTTTTAGAGTAATTGGGATAGAGGGAATAATAAAACTTTACCAGAAGCAGGATCAAAGTAAATTGCTTAGACTGTTGATGAAGGCCATTATTGTATTTGCTATATCAAAGGATACAAAAATTCCGAAGCCAT